GAGAAGCCTGCCGTGCCCGTCCAGGTCAAGGCGCCAGTCAAGACTGAGGCTATTCCCATCCCTAGGTCAGAGACTGCCACCGAAGGCCTCGACGCGCACTTCATCCGGGACACCATCATTGATGGCTCCAAGATCTGTGCTGGTCACCAGTTCGTTCAGGTCTGGACTCTTCGCAACCCTGGCCCCAACGCTTGGCCACGAGGCTGCAGCGTCCGACACGTTGGTGGTGACAACATGCTCAACATCGACAACACCCGTCCTCTGAGCCACGTTGAGCTTGCTGAAGCTAGCGAGAGCAACGTGCTCGGCCACACTGTCGAGGCCGGCGAGGAAGCCCAGTTCCGTGTTCTCATGAAGGCACCCCAGCGCGAGGGCACTGCCATCTCTTACTGGCGCCTGAAGACCCCCGAGGGTATGCCCTTCGGCCATCGCCTCTGGTGTGACATTGCAGTCGTTGCCGTGCCCTCGCCTGTCGCAGCTCAGCCAGCTATCCCCATGCCAGTCCAGGTTCCTACTCCCGCATCCGGCTCAGCTACCACGTTCGAGGTGGCTCCTAGGTCGAACCCTCTGTACGACCGCCTCCTACAGGCCAGGGCTGAGCGCATGAAGCAAATGCAACACACTCAGCAACAACAACTGCAGAAGATGAAGGATGCACACCACTCTCTGCAGCAACAGCTGGATCAGCAGAAGATGGAGCGTGTTCAGCGTGTACGCAAGGCCGCCATGGAGCGTCTCATGGAGGGCCGCCGCAAGGTGCACGAGGAGGCGAACCGTCGCAAGGAACACGAGGCTGCCCTTGCTACTATCAAGCAGGAGCCTGTTGCTTCTCCCAAGGAGGAGGTCAAGGTCGAAGAGCCAGTTGCCGAACTCCCAGTCGAGGAGAAGCAGTCTGCATCTGAGCCCATCGCTTCCGGCATGATCTTCCCTCAGCTTGACAAGGAGTCTCCCGAGTCCAGCACTTACGAGTCATCTACCACAGCTCAGCCCGCCTCTCCATCTGAGAAGAGCACCGTTGCACGCACTGTCACCGTGGCTTCAGATGACGAGTTCTTCGAGGATGCTGAGAGTGTCGCCCTTATGTCCGACGATGGCTTCATGACCGATGAGGAGTACGACATCCTCGATGCCAGCGACGAAGAGATGCAGTAGGTGGTGTCATAGGCGTCAGCGAAAGCTGCCATATTTCGTGAGCACAAAGGTAGGCAAAGTGTTCCTGGTTGGTGTCTAAAGCGTTCAAATTTCTGGGTACTGGGGGCGTCAAAAGGAATGGACTGGGAGATATCGCGATCACACAACATTCCCTAAACAGAGAAGGCGCTGGAGCGCGCTTCGCTACACCTCGACGGGACATGTGAGTAGGGTGCTTCATTGCCTCTGGCTCGGTTACGGCTCTCCTACTTGGCTCAATTTGATCTTTCCTTTCATGTCTTCTATATGTGTAGTAAATCAATGGTAGTTTTCTTGAATACCTCTCTCGCAACACTGTGACGCATGCGAAGCCCGATTAAAGCGCAACTCATGTACTGGATCTTGGCCGTGTGCAGGCGGAGCGTGACTAAGCCAGGGTCTTCTAGCGCGGCTATGCTAGCGAAAAGTGCCCCAGAAAAAAGTTCGAGCCGCAAAGTATCGATACGCAACACCACCCACGCTACAATGTCGTCAGATACAGAGATGTCCTCGGCGGAAGAGATTGCCGTTGTCTCCAAGAAGGAGCGTCGCGACAAGAAGGAGAAAAAGGACAAAAAGGAAAAGAAAGAGAAGAAGCGCGCGAGGGCCGAGTCGAAGGCTGAAGCTGCAGAGTCCGACAGCGACGACGCAGCCGAGACACCAGCAAAGAAGCGCAAGCGCGAAGCATTGCCCGAAGAACTCGAGATCGATGTCAACCTCCCCGAACCTGCCTCCAAGAAAGCCGCTCGTAAAGCAAAGAAAGCAAAGCTGAACCCTACACCCGCCGCCGACGCAGACGGAGAAGCATCGGTCGCGAAGACGGATGGGAAGACGGACGCAAATTCAGCTGAAGACAGGGAGAATGCCGCGAAGCGCTCGGAATACGGTGTATGGATCGGCAACCTGCCATGGTCTGCCACGAAGGAGTCGCTACGAAAGTTCTTGACCGACAATACTGAAATCCCCGACGACCAAATTACACGCATTCACATGCCCCCTCCCACGAGGCCACCGCCCCCGAGTTGGACTACAAAGCCAATGAACAAGGGTTTCGCATACGTCGACTTCTCTACTGAGCTGTCGATGTACTCGGCGATTGCCTTGACGGAGATGAAGATGGACAACCGCGCGCTGCTGATCAAGAATGCAAAGAGCTTCGACGGGCGGCCAGACAAGCCCAAGACTGAAGAAACTCAGGATAACGGACGTGGAGCCAAGGATGCGAAACCGAAGAACCCTCCCAACAAGCGCGTGTTCGTCGGAAACCTCTCCTTCGACGTTACCCAGGACGATCTCAAGAACCACTACGCACCATGCGGAAGAATTGATAACATACACATGGCAACGTTTGAAGATTCTGGCAAATGCAAGGGCTTTGCCTGGGTCACTTTCAGGGATGTGGAAGCTGCAACAGCAGCGGTTAAGGGTTTTGTTTTCAAAGACCCGTCGGCGTTCAAGAACAAGAAGGACAGGGACGAGAGTGATAGCGAGGTCGACACCAGCAAACCCGTCAAGCAAAGGAAATGGCTAGTCAACAAGCTCATGGGGAGAGAATTGCGTCGTGAGTTCGCTGAAGACAATCATACGAGGTACCACAAGCGATTTGGCCATGAGAAGGAGGGTGCGGATGGAGAGAATGCAGGTCGCGAGAGGGGCTTTGGCAGGGGAGGAGGAGGCCAAAGAGGAGGCAGGCAAGACTTTGGAGAGAGCAATGGCGGACGGGGTGGCAAGCGAAAGGTTGACCCGAGGAATATCAAGAGTGGTGCTGCTCATATGAGTACTCAAAGGGCGAGTCAAGCGATTGTTGAGTCGCAGGGCAAGAAGACTACTTTTGATTAAGCATAGATACTGTAGTTGGAAAGGAATATTCAGGGCGCAGTTTGAGCAAGAGCAGGTCGTGGTCCACCGCACGTTCCTGCTGCGCATTGCGAGACGGGCAGGTGGTTGGCGCATGGCTGCAACTATCATCACACGCTTCTCCATCCTCTCTTCGTTCCTCAAAACAATCCCAATACTATTGTTACGCCCTGAAAGCGACTCGTCTTGATCAACATATCTACAACGTCCTCACCATATATTTTTGTTTCTCCTATTTCACCCCAACCTCTAGAACACTCACCCACATACCTCCTTTCACCACCAAAATGTCAAACCTAAAACGCATATCCATCCTCCCCAATCCCACCTGCGAACGCGCAGGCCTAAAATCCTACGCCTCCCTCCTCCGCAAATACGACTTCGCGCCCACCACCGAAGGGCCCTTCCAAGTCCTCGACGTCGCCACCAAATCCGTAAAGAACCTGTTTAAACCCGCGGCTAAGAAGGAAACCAAACCGGTTCTGCGCAAGATTGAAGAGGAAGGCAAACCGGGCGAGGTCAAAGCGGAAGATCAGCAGAATGATGCGTTGTATATCTGCCCTGTGGAGATTGGAACGCCGCCGCAGGTGATGAATTTGCATTTTGATACTGGGAGCAGTGATCTTTGGGTACCGTTATTTGTTCCACTTGGCTATGGTTGGGTGACGATAGACTGATACACTTTGTGATTGTAGGTATAGTCTACCCTGCTCGATCCTGCGACGAAGAAGGCGGCGGTGAATGGAAAGACGAAACATAACGTCTTTGATGCAAAGGCTAGTGAGACGTTCAAGAAGGTTGAGGGTGCGAGTTGGAGGATCAGGTATGGGGATGGTGAGTTCGCTCTCTTCCTTTACCTTGTCCATTCATCCAGTCTTACCACACAATGACCTCTCCGCTGATTACATTATACAGGCTCCACGGCCTCCGGCATCGTCGGCACAGACAACGTGACCCTCGGCGGCCTATGCATCGAGAACCAAGCGATTGAACTCGCCAACAAACTCAGTCCGCAGTTTACCTCCGGCGCAGGAGACGGGTTGTTGGGTCTAGGATTCGGACATATCAATACTGTCAAGCCGAAGAAAGTGGCTACGCCTGTTGAATCGGTCTGTCCTCTTCCCTATGTTTGCCAACACTCCTTCTTTCTTTCCGTCATTCTTCATTTCTGAGCTTTGGCACCGTTAACACTCTTATATAGATGATATCCCAATCCGACATCCCCTCCTCCAGCGAACTCTTCACCTGCTACCTCGGCTCCTGGCGCGACACCTCGGACCTCGACGCCGGAGAATCCTTCTACACATTCGGCTACATCGACGACACCGTCCTATCCCGCTGCGGCGTCTCAGAACCACACTACGTCCCCATCGACTCCTCGCGCGGGTTCTAGCAGTTCCCCTCGCCCACCGCCGTGCTAAACGGCGAGACGATCCAACGACCACCTGGAAACACGGCGATTGCAGACACAGGAACTACACTGGCGCTGCTGGATGATGCGTTGTGTGAGAAGATATACAGTACCATCCCTGGTGCGGTGTTTGGTAAAGCGCACCAGGGGTGGGTTTCCCCCCTAGGGACTAAAGTCGCGGATTTACCTACGTTAGCATTAGCGGTCGGCGACAAGGTGTTTGAAGTCCAGAAGGAAGATTTTGGGTTCGCGAAATGTGGGGGTGGGATGCAGTATGGTGGGATTCAGTCGAGGGGCAAGAGCGAGTTTGATATTCTGGGCGATACGTGGTTGAAGGGGGTTTATGCCGTGTTTGATCAGGGGAGGAAGAGGTTTGGGGTTGTGCAGAGGGTGGAGGGGGTGCAGAATTTGGAGGCGCCGAAGTAAAGGGGTGGGTTGGGGGGGTTTGTTTAGTCCTGTGGCTTTAGATTGTAGGAGATGGTAGGTAGGTGGTATCAACTGTTCTGATTCGTGACTGAACTCGAATATCCCATATCATCATACATCGTGTTTGACATGCGACCTACGGCGCAGCAGCATTCGCAGCCAACCACTGCCCAAACGCCGCTGCATTCCTCGTCTGCATGAAGACAGTGCCCGGTCCAGTGAACTTGCATACAAGGCCCTCACCCGCCGTCATGTTACTGATGATACCACCACTAGCAACACGCTCGAGGACGTATTTGCAGTTCCATGCAACGAGGTGACCGTTGTCGATGATGTATTTCTCGTTAGCAGCGAGCTAGAAGAGTCGCTCGCGTTAGCACTCGGTCAATCTGGCATGGAGATGGATGAATGGAAACTTACATCCTTCCTGATAATCGCGCCAAAACTCGTCACCCAAAGCACACCCGTCCCACTAATCTTATACACGAACAGTCCCTCACCACTGAACATGGCTTTACCAATTCCCTGACTCTTATACTCCGTCACAATACCCTGTGTGCATGCCAGAAACGCGTCGCGGCCCACCGACCATGTCTCCTTTCCCCCGAGCTTGATGATTGTGATGTCGCCGATGGAAGGAGGGGCGAGAAGAAGTTCACCGGGACCCGTGTATGTGGATTTGGACATGTCGCCGCCCATGAGGGCTTTCTTGAGGGAGAACTTCAGGTTGCCTTTTAGCGTCATGGTGTGGGACATTGCTATCATGGCGCCTGGGAGTTGTATCAGTCTTTCGTTTCTTGCATCTTTCACTCCCTATAGTAGCGAAGTACGGATCTTGTATTGGAAGACTTACCAGGCTTAGCAGTAAAAGGACATCCAATGGCTAACTGCACGGTGAGAATGGAGTTCGTGTCCCTGTGGCTCACGCGGTAGCTTCCTCCATTGAAAGTCCCCACGTCGTCTGCTGAAGCACTAGCGGGTGATGTGTGTGCTGCCGCACCCGCGCCCACGTATTGCGGTTGCTGAGGTATGCTCTGCTGGCTCATCTGCGACTGGTGGCCCATGCCTGGATGACCAGTCTTCTCGGCGGGGTACCCTGACGGTGTCGCACTCGGGCTTCCACCAGGGAATCCACCAAAGCCGGGGCTCATCGGTTGCTGTGGCTGTTGTTGTGGCGGCTGTTGCTGCTGCTGCTGCGGGAAAGGCGGGGGCGGCGATTGCGCTTGGCCTGGGGGCGGGAAGTGCTGTTGTTCGGGGGGCGGCGCATATTGCTGTTGCTCAGGAGGCGGCGCATAGTGTTGTTGTGGAGCGGCATTTCCACCTGGCGGAGGTGGATAGTGTTGTTGCTGCTGTTGGTGTGCGGGAGGGGATGTGGGTGGTGGAGGGTAGGACTGGCCGCCTGGCGGAGGCGCATAGTACTGCTGCTGGCCCTGTTGGTCTGGTATATGTTAGGAGACTGTTCAGGAGGAGCGGTGTTGTAGTGTGGAAGGCTGGAGAAGGAGCGTTCGGTATATGACGGGACGAATGTAGATGGTGTAGATGTACCTGGCGGTGCTACTTCTCGTCAGTTTATCTTCACATACATTGCGCCATGCGACTCACGAGGGTAGTAGTTTCCGCCCGGTGGCGGAGTTCCCTGGTATCCTGACATATTCAAGCTTGCGATCCTAAGGCGACGAGTTGACGCGACTGCAGTTGGGTCTCAGAGAACAAGGTAAGGGGATGTTAGCAGCAACCACGCGCAATGTAGGAGAGAGGAGAGGAGCGGAGAAGGGATTAGATTAGTCTACGGAAGCATCAGCACCATAAGCAGTATAGACGTTTTAACCGCGCGCCCCGTTGGTGTCTCCTTGGTCAAGCTGCTCAGCCTCCAGCGCGCAGCTGCTGGCTAGCGGGGTCTCTCGAGCCGCCGAATCAGCGCCCCGCTTCCCTCGCTCTGGCCTACGCGCCAAGCCTGTGCCACGGGTGAGTAAGAGAATAGCATAAAGTCGTTCATGCGTGTGCAGCTATTTTGGACCAAGACATTCGAGCTGGGCAGAAACAAACATGTTCGCATGTCCTCATGATGCAGGGGAGCTTCGGGAGGCACCGTAGCTATCAGGGTCCACTTGCGACCAACTTAAGCGCCCACCATATCTCACATGCTAGTCTGCGTCTTATTCCCCAGCGCGTATATTAGCTATCACATATTACGCACGTACTGAGAAAGTTCTCTCCTACGTCTATTAGACTGTATCTTTTGACTCATCTCAACGTACATGAAACTTTCACAGACATTGCTCTGAATCATCATGACCGTTCATACCGCCGAAAAGCGTCATGACAGCAACAGCCGTAGCGCCCGCTGATCGAGAATCCCCAGCCCAAGCCATGCATAACATTGAACATCGTAAAGCGCATAACATCAATTCCTCTAACCCACCATTCTCCGCCTCTTTCCGATCTGGGCTGAGAAACCAGTCTTGATGGCCTGTACCGAACGTCTCGATCCGCAGCTGTTGCAGGTGACGAAGTTGAGACGGTTCTCACCCTTGGAGAGGTCGGTGTCGGGCGAACGGCAGGTCTTGCAGGTAACGTATTCGACAATGTATCGTCGGAGGACGTTCTCGAGTTGCTTCTGCTGGAAACGACCCTTGATGACCAGGCGCTTCTGATCGGCGAATGAACCGCTCGTACCCAATTCAGCGAACAGGAACTGAGCAACGTGCTCGTCGGAACGCTTCATACGCTTGCAAATCTCGGCAAGGTTGGCAAAGACGGTCTTCTTGTTTCCTTCGCGCATGCACTGTGGGGGCGGGATCTTGTAGCTCTTTGTGCCCGAGCTGGCGAGGTCGGGATGTTGTGCGTGGAGGAGCGTGAAGAAGCGGTTCAGGAGGAGGTTGTACGAGATGGGGGTCGTCGAGTTGTGTTCCCAGATGCCGGTGCCCTTCATCATGTCGCCTTCTTGTACTTCGGGTTCAGGAGCAGCGACCTCCTCCTCGCCTTCGGGCTTGTCGCCGCCGGCGGCAGCGAGCTTGGCCTCGAAGTCGTCCTCGACCTTCTTCTTGCTGGACTTCTTCTTCTTCTTCAGCGCGGCGAAGTCGCCCTCTGCGCCATCCTCTTCCTCGCCTTCCTTCTTCTTGGAGGACTTCTTCTTCTTCTGTATCTTGTCAGCAACATGTTGATAATCGCGCATGTTTCTTGCGCCTCACCTTCTTTGCGAGATCAGCGAACATGTCGGTGACCTCCTCGACCTCTTTGTCGTCGCCTGTAGCCCCGCTTGTCAGCGACTGATGTATTTCCAGTGTGTGGTCCATCTTACCAGCACTCGCAGCGTGGCCCTCAGCGGAGTCCTTGTCGCCGTTCATCTCTAGTGATTCGGTAACGTCGCCGTTGCTGTCGACAATCGTAGCACCTTCGGAAAATTGGACCGACTTGCGGGGTTTGCGGTCAGGGAGATCGGCCTGTGTAGGTGTCCGTTAGTATGTCGGTCTCTGTAGGGAAGTAGAAATAAGTCCCAGCTAGGAAGCTGGCATGCAGCAAGCCCACTTTCAAGGCACAGGATATTTCGAAAGCGAACGTGGGGCTGTGACGTACAGAATCAGCCATGATTGCGGTTGCACTCGTGTTTTCGACGTTCAGAGGATTCTGGTAATGTTCTGGTATCGATTCGGAGTACGTAGTGATATGTAGGCGTGGTGAGTCGAAGAGTTAGGCAGGCGGTCACCCTAAAGTTCGCCGCAACACATGTGTGAGTCGAACGCTGAGTGCCAAGATTTGCGTCACGTGCTGACTGCCGCTAAGCCCCACCTCCGCTCATTGGCTGGAGCGCTCCGACACCATTCACCGAACGCGCCTCTACCACAGCCGTCGCGATCCCGTCACTATCGCCAATGCTGCTACGGTAGTCCGCCGATTCAGTCATACATCCACCACCCTCTCCTGTCAACGACCCCACACCACCGCCGCCATGTCCCTGAGCAATAGCGAGAGCTTCATCGAGCCATCCTCCAACGACGAGATCGATTCGTTACCATCTTCGGCAACAAGCTCCTCAGCCGATGAGGAAGAATACATGTCAGATGCGGATAGGGAGTGGAAAGAGTCGCTGCAACAGTTGGAGCTGCTGTTGACAATGGTCATGGTGCCATATCTGGGGAAATACTTTGGCAGAAAGGCCGCATACTGGGGTACGTCATCTTCAAGGTTAGATGACCGGATAGATGGCAGGTAGCTAACAGCTTCGCAGGATGGGCCAAGTTTATGGAATGGAAATACCCCGTCGAGATCGTCTTTTCGAGTCCGAAGACGTTCAAGCTGGCTGGAGCTGTTGAGGCAGCAGCCACACTATGAGCGCTTTACATTACTTCGGCGGCTTCACACAATCGAGCATCGGCGTTTATGGCGTTGGGTCCATCAGATATCCACACACATTGGACGTCACTTGTACATACCACTCTATTACCACGACATATCGAACACTTATATTACAAGGCAAAGAGCACTCGCCCAACCTCTACTCAAGAATCTCCCCATTGAGAATCGTCCTCCCATAAGCATCATGATGCCAGTGGTCACCCTCCAGGGTAGTAAGTCGGTCCTGCATATGTTTTGTGTCGATTCCGCCATCCTTGGCATGTATCTCCTCCATCTCCTGCCTCTTCTTGCTCTTGGGCTTTCCTTCTTTGATGCGTAGCTTCTCAAAATAGACGTACGAACCATAATAGATGCCGAATGTGTTGCCGTTCAACGCCCCTTTCTTGCTGCGAAAAGCAGAGAGTTGGCGCGCGTTGAGGGTCTTGGATGGGTTGTGGAAGGACGCTGAGGCTGCGCGAAGGAATGCAGCCTGAGTTACGCTGGGTTTCTTGAGGTGTGCGTTGATCTTATGGCGGACGTCGTCGCATGTATCTATGAGCGTGTCAGTCTTCACATCTCTTCCGTCATGGTGGTGCGAAAGCTTACCGTATACTGGTACTTTGTCTTCTTTCTCGAAATCCAGCTCAACATCATCGACACTAGGCACGCTGTCCTTTGCCGCACCTCCTTCATTCTTCTTCGCTTTCTTATTCGCAGTCGTCTTGATGCCCGCTATCTCGCGCTGCTGGAAGAACGCGTACGCTGCCGGATATACAGAAGACTCAACTCCCTTGTCCTTCCCATGCTGGCTCATGAATCGCGAGTACGCATTGGGGGTGATGCCAACGGCCTTTTGAAACTCGCCCACTTTCATCTCGCCATTGTCGATCAAGGTGCGTATCTTACGCCTGCGTACAAGTCAGACACTATACGCAAATCATGGAGAATCGGAGATGTTCATGGCGGCGTAGAAACACGCAACGCGCGCATTGTTACTAAATGAAAAATCGCATACCGTAAGACATCGCAACTCTCCGTCACAGGCCTGTTCTCAAACTCAAAATCTGATTCTTCATCATCGATGATGTGCATGCTCGGGTTAGGCATAGTTGGGTTCGAGGTAGTCGGGTTTAACACAGCCGGGTTTGGAATAGGCGCATTCGAGATAATCGTGTGCGGCATAGGAGGCGGGTACGACATAGGCGGGTTCGACATAGGCGGGTGTGACATATGCGGGTGCGACATAGGCGGGTGCGGCATAGGCTGGTGTGATGTAGGCTGGTGTGATATAGGTTGGTTCGACATAGATTGATTCGACATCGGCGGGTAGGACGGAGTTTGGTTCTCCAAAGTCGGCATCGGGTATGGGTTCATGTACGCCATATTGAAACTGCGCGATGCTAACACGTCAACCTTGGAAAAAAGTAAATACCCTAGGGTCTACATCAATGTTAACACACCTACTTTGCATATACTTATCTTGACGTAGTCTGCAGACCTGTTTAGGTTTTTCCTTGTATGAGGCGCTGATGTGATTGTATTCCAACAACAATATACAACGGCCAGTAAATTGGCAAAAACGCGGTCCAAGAGGGAAATCGTAGATATAAATGAGAAAGGGCGGCATTGCGATCACCCCATCCTTATGACGTCTTGTTGCGACGCGTCTGTGTTTTGCGCTAGTGGGCGGGGAAAGCACGAACGCGTTCTCAGGGGCCGAGTATCAACACCATCAACAGCGGGCCTGCAAGATGCCTCAAATCAACAATCTGTTTCTTGCCTTGAATGCGCAGTACAATGTCATTCAGATATCTTCACTATTCAGACTTGACGACGTGTGACGCCGAAAGAGTCTCTCACACCTTTTGAGCATCAAGACGGAACACCACGAGTAAATCGGCCGTGACTCGTTGGAACGTAAGCATAACCCCAAAAGAAAGCAGCGCATTTCGGTCACAGCGCATGATGATTCCAGAATCTTCGCTGGCCATTGCTTTTCAATAAGTTTTCCCACTCTCCAGGGCTGCTCATTCGCTGACTGAAACGGACGCTAGGCACTTGAACCGGGGGGTGTATGTGTATACAACATGAAAGCGCAGCACTATCCATAATCACGCCGAAACACGACAAGCCGCGAAATTAGACACGGCATAATCGTCCGTTCTGAGTTTGAGTCCCCTGCTCGCCATCCCTGATTTCCCAGTCCTCGCTGCCAACGGCTGTGGTTGCGTAGAAGACGCCCTTCGGGTCCCACTTCTTCTTGATCGCGAGTAGCTTGGGGTAGTTCTTCACGCCATAGAATTCGGTTTGCCAGTTTGGCTCTTGGATATCTGCCTCGTTGAGATAGACGCCGCCACACTCGGACGCCGGAGCGACTGCACGCCACGAGTCCATGATGTCGTACGTAAGGTAGTCGGATGCTTCCTTCAATTGAGCCGGTGTTGCGTTCTCTGGAACCATGTTTGCGGTTATCAAGAAAGACTGGGTGTTGCGCCACGCTTCATTGACAGCATTGTCAACCTTGAAAGGGTTACCCGGAGCCATGTGGTAACCGCCGACCGTATGACCGTTCATCACTGTGTCCTTGATGGTGGTGTAGAAAGAGTTGAATTTCTCTTCGGTTACCCAAAGGCTCTTGGGGAAGAGACGGGTAGCTTGACGAATGGTGGTCACACCGAGTGTATCCGCGCCCCATGAGCCTTTGTTGGCAGAGTAAAAGTCGTTGTGGTAGGTCGTGTTGGGGGTTACCGAGATGTTGAAAGACTTGAGGTCGGCGAAGAAGTCCTTCGTAAGCGCATTGAAGGACTCAATAGTGTGGTTTGGCGCAAAGAAGGGTGTCATCTGGAAGTCGAGCGTCGTACCGTAGTTCCAGATCCAGAAGTAAGAATACGTGCCAGCGTTGGTGTACTCGGGGAATCGCTTCATGTAAGCATTGATGCCCTTCCAGAAGTTGGCAGAGTCGTTGACTGGGGCCTGGAAAGAGAAGACAGACTTGGTAACATGTATTCTCGGATGGGCTTTGGCGATGACCGAAGTCACAACACCAAACGTTCCACCGCCTCCTCCGCGAAGGGCCCAGAAGAGATCGGAGTTTTGGGAGTCAGAGGCAGTTACGAAGCGCCCGTCAGCGGTGACGACTTCAAAGGCGAGAACTTGGTCAGCAGCCATGCCGTAGATAGATGCGAGAGGTGAGTGGCCACCTCCGGTGACATAACCACCACTCCATCCAACAGTCTACGTCTAGGGTTAGTAGTTGCGCCTCCGACATACAGTGTACCACGATGACTTACTTCACAGATACCAGCCATGACCGTCACGTCGTGATCGCGGGCAGCTTCCAGGATCTCAAACCCTTGGACACCAGCACCAGCCTTGAACGCCGGGCCGCTGTACTCATCCGAATCGTACTTCTCAATGAACTGGATGTCCTTGAGATTGTGTGTCCAAATATTGAGAGCCCCCGCGCCAGACGACTTTCCAATATAGTCGTGCCCAGTATTCTTGACAGTCAACCTGAGGTTCATGTTGCGAGCAAAGTTGACACCAAGCTGCACCTGAGCAACATTCTCGACATTGATCGAGTAAGATGCATAGCCACCTAGCGAACAGGTGCCACTGGGGTCGTCGGTAGGCATGCACGTGCGGCCCTGGAAGAGCGGCCACATCATTGAGGTCGGGTCGCTTGTGTGGAGATCAGAGGTGGTGAATCTGGCTGAGATGTCTGCGCATTTCGCCTCGTCATAGTCATTCCAGGCCGAGTCCTTGTAGCATGGTGCAGCGATGGGAGTCGTCTTGATGAGCGCTCCTCCCAGCAGGTTGTCGAAGGTAGACCATACGCTTTCTTCCGGATAGTCGGAATCGCCTGGAAAGACTTTGCATTGACCGCTGCTGATCCCATGCGTCGTCTTCTCCTCATTGTCGAAGCCAAAAAGTGAAACCACTTCAACCTCACTTATCTGGCGAGCAGCCGCATCCAGGACGTCGTTGGTCAATTGGACTGCCTCGTTCGGAAACAACGCGACTCCGGCAGGCGAGTCCGTGGAGACTATAGCGGCGGCAGGTGCGACCTCGCGGAAAGCAACCGGACTTCCAAGAGCGCCGATAGCGTTTGCAGCTAGAAACATCAGAGACCTGCGTGCAGACATATCGAAAGGATAGCTGGTCAAAAAGAGTGAACGTGTGGGCGCTGCACGGGCAAGCCTCGTCGACCATCTTGATAAATGAACAGGAACCCACGCCACACCGAACCGAAGGATTCATTCTAGATCCACACATCAGATAGTATCCAGGAGGCAAATTTCGGGATGCTGCATGCTCTATACAACATGCATGCCGCTCGCTGTATTCACATTACTCGTACCTACATATGAAGTGGAGCCGCGGCTCGGATACCCACGGCCCGCTCCTTCGGTGACTGTTCACTCCACGAATGAGGAACATCCACCAGAATTTCCAATGTCGCGGGTATTTAACGTGTTTGCGCATCCTTGCGGTCTCTGGGTGAGTAGACCGAGGGAGGATTTGGTTCAGTATGGCCCAATGGGGTTGAGGCCCCACATTATGTGGGAGTTTAGCCGCGCGCTGTAGGTGAGGATATTGTGGAGCACCTGGTCTTTCGTGACACCATTGGCGATATAACTGTTTGACTTACGGCTCATCATTTTTTGGTATTGAACTTGCAAGCCCCCTATATCCTAGAAACTGTTTCCGACCACCCCACTGCAAGAATGCACTCGAGGCTCTCAATAATTCAGTGCAGCTCTTCGTAATCTCTTTCCTGCTCTTCTTCGACGATGAGTCTGGCACCTTCAGGCAGTAGCTTTAATAGCACTTCTCTCTTCTCATACGGAAAAGCCATACGTGCGAAGTTTTTCCTGATTTCCGCACGACCATCCCGTGACTGTTGCGATATCAAACCAAGCTGAAGACCTGGTTCGACTAACTCCTGCTCTGTCGGTGTATGATCCGAAACCATACTTTCCACATGCCTTCCAACGCCTCTGATCTCCATCTGCTTCACATGAGGCCATGGAGCTTCCAATAGAACGGGCAAGATCCATTGTCGGAACATGAGATCCATTGGCCGATACGAATAATGCGGGCACGGTGGCCGAATGCCTCTTGGAGAGTCGTATTCATTTCGATTGTAACCCTGCTTGAAGGAGAGAGAACGTAGGGTATGCCGAACGGATTGCATGAAGCGCGCCCATTCAGAGTATCGTTGGTTGCCCTCTTCTGTATCGTACCAAACATTCGTAAAGGAATTGCCAATGGTAGCAATACGCAAAGAAGTGAGAGCAGTAAAATTCCCAACGTAAGAATCTAGCAATCCCATCATGTACCGGTCGTCTAGGGCGGTGCGTTCATCTTCCTCGTGTTCCTGCATATAGTCTACCATGTCGTGGACGGCAATAAACATTGGATAAGGCGGGTCAAACTCGTCAGACTGGAACAGGTTGTGTAACTCAAGTGCTTTGAGTTGGTGGGCATACTCCTGGAAGAAGCAATTGACAACGTCGCGTCGCACCCAGCCACTCAAGCGTACCGAAGTAGCTTTAGGAAAGCATATCAAAGGCAGTAGTAGAGGATCGCATGACCTTTAGAAGTCAGTAAACAATCATTGCTAAACAGCCAAACACCTACTGCGTGAAGCAAAGGTCAATCTCGGAGACGTTATCAAGGCTACGGAACGTGCGCCAAAGAGAGCCTAACATAGTCAGCATCAACACCTCAAATAACGTATCTGCGTACCATAGCTTCCATGTCCGTCAATATCCAGATCTTCCGACCCTGGGTATTCATCCGTCAAGCGCTTGAAATCGTGCTCCAAATTTTCTTCTTCTCCGTCTTCCCAAGCCGTCTCATCGCATTCAAATAAATTGAAGACTGTCCAGCGTAGCACATGCGCGTGCTTACCGAGCCCCGGATCGTGCTGCAAAGTTCGGGTAAATTGCAGCTGCTTCTCAAATACGTCCAAGTCGAGGCGTCCCCATCGTCTGCAGGTAAAATCGGGTGGCACCCGATGAAGCCCGTCATAAACAGGCGTGCAGTCGATGGGAGCATTATGTGAGCTCAAGTCAATGTTGCGGTACAACTCTGGCATCTACTCGTCGTCAGTCGCTATGCGAAAGTTGAGGAATGCTCACGTACACCAACGTCGTATAGCGAGCGGCGTGTCTCGCATAGTCTCTTTATGTCGGCGCAAGAGCAAGAAGACAAGATCTCGATGAGGAGCTCTGTTGGTAGATCGAGTAGATGAGACATGTCGCTGCGACTCCATCCAGTGGCGAGATCAACGATTCACCGTCAAAGATGCGTTTCGCACTCGGGATTCCAATTAGATATCGAGTAGTGAGAGGTTGTTCGTTTTGAATGATGAAGTAGCTGTGCCACATTAGGCAGCATCCTTGGCCACCACGCTTGTATCCCTTTCCGAATCATCACGTTCCTTGCATCTCCAGAACTCGCGCTTAAATTTGTTTTGAGAGCTCTTGTACCCATGCCAGCCTTCCCTCGCCAAAGATCTCGGCTGTGGCTGGCATGTCCTCACCACCTTCCAGTAACAAAGTGCGCACGATGATCTTGTCCGGCATAACATCTTCATGATGATAAATATGGCTCGTGCAAACTTTGCAAAAGTAGCATCGCACGAACTTGCCTGCACCCAGTCAGCCTTTCCTCCTTCACCGGCATAAAGTGAACATACCACTAGCACCTTTATACCGATACTGCCTGATGTTTTCCTCGCCGGAGACGATCTGCAGTTCCTCTTTCGGTATAATCTGATTGCACGAGTACGGTCCACCACCAAGCTTCTGGCATGTTGAGCAATGACAAAGCACGTGCTCAGCATTTTCGAGCTTCGCGGTCCATTTTACACTCTCGCAATGGCAATTACCCTTCCTGACCCCATCTCCTTTCGCCGGTGGATGTTCAGCCGCAGAGCCGAACAGCACCCCGTCTTTGATATCGACGACCAGGCTATCCTCGATCAGCGGCTTCGCGGCTTTAGAGAAGGCCTTGTGAACCGGCTCGGTGGTGAGATAATAGTCCAAATCTTCCTGGTTCGCAAACTCAAGCACAAAACCATGTGTCATGCCTTTAGAGAAAGGTTCCCACGATCTGTTCTTGCCGGCTTTCAGCGACTGTATGAGCGGCTTGCTGGTGTTAGGATTCAGCGACTTGTGTTGTAGGGCCATGAACGACTTGAAGTGCTTCTCTAGATCCGTCCATGATATATCTTGGCGGTATTTAAAGAGCACTATGTGTGTGATCGTGTCGCTAGCCATTGTCTCCGATGCAGGAGTTCCTGGTGCGAAGGTGAGGGGCGTAATGGGTGCGGAGTCGAGGATGTCGGCTATGTTGGGGAACATGTAGAAGGCGCAATACGGTATTCGTGGAGAGTAACCCCATCTTATATTATCAGGACGCCAGAAGCAGTAGAAAGGTGATGTTGCAAGACCGCGATGGCACGCGTTCGTGGAAGGCACCCCCGGGGCTAGCGCCGCTGGAAGTAGCAAGTTTCGCCGTCTCCGCGCTGTGGGGCAGCTGCGCATGGAACAAACATCCGTCCTTCTCAGCATCAGCAGTTCGACACCCATCATTCACTCTTGCCATCTCAACGTGATTTTGTTAATGAGACGCATCTTTTCAAAATAGATTTCATTCCAGATATAGCTCGCTAAACTGCACGATCGCATCACTGTCGCTCACCAAATCGCATCTCACGGCGTGCCCTCCTTAGCCGATCCCATCGCCTGCCCAGGCGCACTCGCATCCCTCAACTTGACACTCTCATCCGTCTCCTGCAGCAGCGCATCCTCATGATCAACCGGAAAGAAGCGATAACTCCTCATTTCCGTGTTCTGCCAATCTCCATGTGCCTGACAATCGTTCTCATCTAGATCCCCAGATACGTAATGCAGGAAGTCGCCATGCGATACCACAACGATCTCCTCCTCGTCGCGGTCTCGCAAGAAGCGGCGGAGCTCCAAGGCACGCGCCTTTAGTGAGCCACCGTCTGGTGCCCATTTGCCCTCTTTGGTGTTGAAGTCGGTGTACGTGTCCAGGCACCTGTGGAAGTCGCAGACGTCGCCAAATTCCTTTTGAAGCCGCTTTACATCGCTTGGTGTGTTGGCGGGCTCAGATGTAGCTTCTTGAGCTAGTGGAAGAGCGAGGATGTTGCGCTTTCCGGATTGCAGCCACGGCTCCATGCTGATGAGTGCTGTTTGGATTGTGCGGCGGATGGGGCTTGCGCAGACTAGGTCGATGCGGTCGAAGAATGGAAACGTTTCCGAAAGGTTTTTGCATTGCTGTTTGCCTTTCGGTGTGAGGTCGGGGTCCGGGATCTTCTCGTTGTGTTCTGCGTTGTGGTAGCCTTCGGCGTGGCGGATGAAGTGCACAGCACGGGGAGCCATTTTGGATTAGGACGTGTAGGTGTCGGGAAGCGATTGAAGTGTTATTTCGTGTCAACCGTAGAAGAATTAATGTCTTGAACGGCTTTGAGATGACAGTATTAATGAAGGGAGAGGAGATCAATATATATACTGCGAGAGGTACATCTAGAGTAGCGTCACAATTGGTATACCGAACATGCACACGCCATCCTCGAATTCGGTCGTCATATGCTAGCATATTCATCGGACCAAGATCTCGTGGCGAGATGCATGTTCACCATCAACATCCACGAAACGATAGATGCTGGTGGATGACGAGAAGGCTATTTCGGCACAGCTGTGAGTAGCATGGAAGGTCAGCCGTGTCAATACCAAAGACACGTCGGAAGCGCTCCTGAGGTTATGGCTGGCTGCGTCCTGGCGTGAAAATAAGCTCCTCGTAAGTTTAGTAGCCTTCTAGAAGGTCTACATGCCCAGCCATCGGAGTCTGGGGCTCTTAGCGTCTGGTAAGTCCCGGTTCGGAGGCGCTTGCTTGGATTCTTGGCTCTGAACGACGCGAAAGCACTTACTGAGCCAGTGTAAAGTCCCTGACTACCGCATAGACGGATGACCATTTGTTGAAAACTTGGTTCGCCGCATGCACAATGACATCCAGGCTTGAGGCCGCGTCAGGAACGGTATGAGCAGTTGCGGGTAATCGGCACGTCAAGAAGGCGATGTAAAGCTTGATGCCGAGACGCACACAGAATGGTAGGAGTCGCGTGGATATCACGGCCCTTTTCAAATGTTCTCGCGCTGTGGTCCAGAATTAGTGGAGGTGAGGCCTCCGTCACATCCGCTCTGGTCGAGATTTACACGCCAAGTGGGTGACGTCAGCACGCGTGAACTAATGATCTACGGGCTTCCCCACAAACTAAAGCTTCGCCGTAGAAACTGCGCTTGGGAAGAGAGATGCGCTATGCATGGTTTCCCAGAGCTACGGTGCTTGAGATCTTGCTACACGGCTGTAACGGCATCGCATGCGAGAACTCATCTGTCACACCGAGCGAGTGTCTCTGCTAGCATACAGCACATCATAGAGTCTGTCCAACCCAACCTTCCGCTTCGAAATCAACATATGTTCCTTTCAGTCGCACAGGATCAACGTAGATCTTCAATCCTTTGTCGTCCGACAAAAGATAAGACACTCGCATAATGACATACATTCTGGTTGCCTCCTGGTCTCTTTGAACAGCCATCTCATGCATCTGCTTGTTGTGTCAGTCATGCGCCCACGAAATTCATCCCACATATTTGTCAAGGAAGTCTAGACAACTTACGAGTTTGTACTGTCCGGCACTCAGGAAGAACCTCGTCTCACAAGCACTTGTTGTGCTCTTGACTTCGAAGTAGTATTCGATCGGGTGCTTCGCGAAGTCACGCTCAGTACTACTAGCAGGATAGCCACCTGTGCATCTCCCCTTCAACCACTGCGTCAGCGTACCATCGCGATCCGTGTAGACGATATCCGCTGTTTCGCGACCCTGCCAGTTGGCAATGCCGGCGTATTTCGGATAGCGTGAGAGCTCTCCGCGAATCGTACTGCGCCAATTGTCGAGCGTGAAGTCGGTCAAATTGAGAGCGGCGAGCGTTTCAAAAACCTGCAACTGTCAGTAAGCGGACACGGAGTCACTCGAAGCGGCGACTTACAAATGCTTCACCTAGAGCTCCGTGAAGGCGGTTAATACGCTCCTGATCTAAGCTGCGACTTGCTTTGGGACTGTAGGCCGCATGTCTGGAGCTAGCTGTCACATCTTCGACGAAGGTTGAATCGGATGAGTTCACAGACCCATTTGCTGAGACTTGAGAAGAGCGTCTTCGCGTGCTTGTATTTTCAGCATTGTGCACGTGTCGCGGCTCAAACGGCGACGATGAATCATCCTCATCCTCATCCCCATCCTCATCTTCATCGTCCGGTAGATTCAAGACTGGCTTTGTGATCCACGACACGCACGATATATCGAGCTCGATCAGGATGTCGTCTAAGGCTCGAAGGTCGCTACCAATGATGACAGAGATGTCATGACGTGCGCTGTCGTCGACTTCCATGATGTCTGCAAGCAGTTTCGGAAGCTGTGATCGATAGGAAGATTGACGTTGCTTCGGGCCTTTGGGTACGTAGATTCTTAGACCGTCTGCCGTTATCTCATGGTGTATGAATGATCGCTCGCTTCGAACACTAAGATGAAGGTCTGGGTCTTTGTTGTCGATGACCAGGTGGGTCGCGAGATCGCCTCTGGAGATCCGAACCGCTGACAAAGTGTCGAAAAGTGAGTGATCTCCATGGAGAGCTTTCACACTCTTGTACTTCGCAGCACAGCTGTGTAGAGTCAGCTTGAATGATCGCACAGAGTGGCTTTCATATGAGGAAAGACTCACCAATATAGAGCGTACGCTTTCACTTGCAGTTTTTGCGTAAGGGCATCGTCTTCCTCACTATCTTCCTCGACCGTGGACTTCTCGACCACCAAAGACGAGAGATAATACCTCTTGATACCGGTATGCGTGAACATGACGTTCATAATTTGAACCTCCTCAACGGAGAAGTCGACTAAGATGTCATGCTCCTCAAAGGCGCTGCCATATCGAGTATGGTCCCGGATAGCGTAGGCATCGTGACGGCTAAGGAGGACTGTACCGCCATTGGCAAGTCTTTTGGGCAGGAACTTGCTTGCCGCAAGATCGGATAGCGCATCTTTAGTTGCCTTATCCAGCTTGGTAGTAGTCAGCATCCTGCTGACGTCGACGAGCCGCTTTCGGATATTATCGTAGTCGGGCGATTTGTTCCTGACCATTTTCGATATCTCCTTGATAACCATAGTCGGTGTGACTTTCTTGACTTTGAGATGCTTCACGAAGAAGGTTTCCAATTGTGGGTAGATGGAGCTAAGGTCTTCGTATCCGGAAAGCAAGAAACGGCTGTGCCACACACACGTCTCCAGGGTGTGCCAGGTGTTATTCGTGCCCAAGATCAAATCGTCTTGCTGGAACTGCGTCCTAAAGGTTGTTAGCACATACAAGGATGAACCAAATAACGCGGCTAAGAAGTGTTTTCGATGGTGCTGCTAACATGTATTGAAGCTTTCCAATACTGAGCTCAGTCTCGGGTAACGATGTAGACATCGTATGTTCGATCCAAAGCTGCACAGAATTGAAAATCACGCGGGGGGATTAAACAAGAATAACTCACCTCAGTATCTGCCCCTCCTCGTCACGGACTGTATTATCACGGATGTATGAATAGATGTCTCCTGCAACGGAAAGGGTGGTTGTGAGATCGGCAGCTTGCCGTCGTTTGATCAGCTCTTCCAAGACATCCTCGGGGACAGCATCTGGTACATCTAGAGTTCCTTGAAAGAATCTAGACAGTGCAGGAATATGCCCATAGTGCGAGTGCAACACGCTCTTGTATCGCAAAAAGGCTGGGCCTTGCCAGACGCATGAGGATTTGTCTACCCAGCTTCTACTGCTGGGTATCCAGAGCAGCTCTTGGGAGAAGAGTTCGCTAATTTAATGAGCCTTGTGACTGGGTTGAAGAGCGTGGGATGAATAGAACGTACCAAAGATCGTCGTGATCGTCTGCCGTAGCGAACTTCGCTAGGCCAGCATATATCCTCTCCAGAATTCCCAAATCAGGATCTTGAGCCACTGACCTGATACCCTGAAGAGCGCGCTCGTAGAACTCGAGATCTACCTCGCTACGTACGCCAAATTCTTCCAAAAATCGCCACTTTACACGGCCATCTTTGTCAAGCTTGTCCGACGTCCGGCGAAAATCAGGTATAGCGAGTATTGAAAACGTGCCCAAGGTTAGACCAAGAGTCAGCACCTGATCAATGACGTCGACCGTAGGTAGGTATGTGTCTTGAAGAGCCTCGTCTTGCCAAGGCTCACCAGCTATAACGGCGCATCGTACTTCTAGGTTCCTGAGCTGGGCTTCGATGCGTGAGACGTCCTTTTGGTAATCGTGCCAATGCTGTCTGAGCATGTCTAGAAATGCATTACATTTCCACTTGGAGAGTGCCCTTAAAGCTGGGGAAAGCTCTTGCAAAGACGTCTTTGCATTTTCGTACACGAGAGGCGGATAGTATCGGGCACCTGTCGCCTGCTCCAACCACTTTTCCCACGCATCACGCTGGTCCTTCGCAGAGTTTTCTTCCCAGTCGACTAGAGACTTGTCAACAAATTCCAAGATTCCCTGATATCTCGAGGGATGAATTCCAGCAAGAGCTTGATGGAGATGATGGGCTTCTTCTGACGGGAAGTATAACGTTGCAGAGTCTCTCACATGCCCGCTTGTTGTCGGCACCCAGATCCATTGTTTGAGCAGCGAAGCTTCCTCATTCGCGCAGAAAAGGTATCGAAGATGGGACGGTATATCAGCAGGAGCTTTGTTGGCGCGGCCATGTATCTGCTTGATCCTGCCCACAACCAACTCATGCGAACACTCCTCGACACCGAGTGCTGTGTAAAAGGCTTTTCGCGTCGGATTCGAAGACGCGTGTGTATCGAGGAGATTCAATCCTATCGAGATGGGAATATGAATGCCGTCGACATCAGAGAAGTAGATATGATCCAAACTCCCACCGCTGCTTTGCCCTGGTGCGCCTGTCCACTGCCGACGATTCTGCAGAGGTATTATAGCCAGTTTCCTCAGTCTATTTTGGACACCAACATCGGGGGCTTTGATCGACCATGCCTGTAAAAACAAGGATGCAAATGCAACGTGCCATGCATCTTGCGGTTCCGTGGCTTTCAATCTCGAAGCGACGGTCAGGACATCAGTCTCTAGCCGTTTCATCATGCGAGGTAGACCTGCCTGACGTACCCCAAGGGAGAAAACTTCAGAGACGTATTTAGGGATGTAATCAGGGGCAAGGTCGACATCATCCAATATGGCCTCCAAGATCGGTTTGCCGCCATGGAGCATGTTGTCCTGTAGTAAACGTAGTTCTCCTGGTCTTCTAAGACGTCGCTGTCGCCAAGTCTGCAGGATGGTTTTCTCTGCGAGCTCTTTTGTAATCAGTTGACGCATTGGTTTCCATCGATCGTCGCTTAGTCCGGTAGGTAGGTAGTCGAGCCAAGAATACCCCAGGGGATCACCGTCTTTCGTGAACTCTTCAACAGCCATCGCGAACGTCTTCGCCACACCATGGAATATAAATTCATTCCACGTACAATCAACGACACTTTCTCGGCTTGCAGAGGTGACAAAGTCTGATTGGATGAGGAACTTACGGAATGGATTAGTATACTTCTTCTTCACATGAGATGATCTTACCTGAACTTGTTGCAAACGCTGCAATGGTAAATAAGCGAAAACATGATGCCCGGATTCGCTAAGCTTTGGCTGCTGTGTTGTGGAGTCAACTGGAAAGGCCAGCTCGACGCGCGCTGATCCGCGACCCTCCCGGTATTCGTGTGCTGGCATATTCTCGACGACGTGAGTGAAACAACGATACAAGCTTTCGTCAACCGTGATTTCATCGTTGAACTCTTCCTGGCGCCTGATAAGAACGCGACTTGGGGGAGATTCAAGTGCGATTCTCTCGAAAGTGGTTGTCACTTCTTTGTCGTCCAGGTCTGGGTCTGTGACATGAATACGGAACCTGCGTAGTCTCTGCAAGAAGAAGAGTGTTGTATCAGGCATGCTTGCGACAGCATTGAGTAAGCCCTGGTACTCTGCAGTTGCATCCCTCGCGAGGCGCAAAGTTATTCTTGTAGTCACATCCTCAGAGAGAGTGACTGGCTCGGCGTCCAGAGGCGTCACCATACCAAGACCGTCGTCCCCGCGCCGATGTTGAAACCGAAATGACCAAAGTCCAGATTGAACGTGCACGTCCTCTGCAATGGAGAACACAGACTTGAATCCGAAGCCTTTCTCTCCGATGTGATCGTCTGTAGCTGACGATTTCTTCGAGCTTTCCCCAGTCGCACACACTGCCTCAACGTTGGCTAGTCTGAAGCCATCTTCATTTGTTTCCACAATGAAAGCATCTGGCGCGATCTTGAATCGGAGAAAGGGTAGTACCGATGCGCTGTGCGCCTCGTTGTACAGCGAATCGTCAGCATTCTGAACAAGTTCGTACAAGAAACGATACTTGGACGAGTAAAGCTGCTGGGAGATGCTGCATCAGTTGTTAAAATGTGAGTATGGTTTGACCTGCAACACGCACCTTTTGGTGAAAGCTGCCTCAAGCTTGCGCTGTTTTGCAAAAACATACAATGTCCGGTCGCGATGTCCGTGGGAAAGCTTCTCCAAATCCAGTCGGTAATCCTCGTCGATGTGGCCTTTGTTGACACGAATGCGCTCCAATACAGCTTTGCACTCGTCCACTGTTGATGGTTCCGCCTTTCCGAGCCGTTCAAGCACTTCGTGGTACCTGCCACTGATCATGCTGGGAGGTCAAACAGGAATGGCGAATTTGGTGTCGTGTGAATATAGTTCAACGAGTCAAACATGGATGTTTACCTCCTGGGTCAAACAGTAGTGATATGTGCGATTATAGCGAAAGTGGAGAGAAGTCATGAGATTGCTCGCGTTCGATGGTGGGGGTGAACCAGTACGGTATTGGCCGCTGCACGCGTGTGGCACGGTACCTTCTCGCGTCGCACGTACATGCAAACCCGAGACATTACGGGTAACGATATGCGCCGAGTATTTTGAATGGACCAAACACGCTGAGAACAAGCTGCTGGAGGATGCGCTTCCAGACAAGCCTCGAGCCTTTCTTAGAAACTAGTCCTGATAATCTCAAATCAGCTGGTTTTGGCCCCCAAGAAACCACAGTCACTCACAAGCGTACTGTTACTATCAAGGGTTAGACATTCGTTTAGAAGCGCCAGCTTGACTTGTTGGTTAACGCGAAGCAACCCCGTTATCAGTGCTGCTAGAAAGTATGGGGAGACGTTTACATGTCGCTGAAGGTCAGGGCTGGGGATCAAAAGATGGTACTGCTGTGATCTGGACGAAATTCGGTCATGACATCTTAATTTGTGGATGCGCTGTAGGTATCTATTGCGCCAAAGCAGTTTTGGCGACGACTATGTGGCAAGGCGACCTTGGCGTGGCATCTCACAAGAAGATCTCCAGGTTGAACTCTAGCGTACTCACGGGGTATCTGTACGATAATTAGCATCTCAGTTTCATTGCGAGACGAGCTGAAAGCGACTTACGGCAACTCGAACTTTTGCAGCACACTCGGGTGCAGGATACCGAAGACACCGATGGTGTGGTTCTTGCCGCCTAGGTTGAGCTTGATAGCCGCTGAGTGCCCAGGAAGGAAGGTCGGGTCTGTGACCAGTCAGTATATTTGCGCCATGTCTGATGCGCAACTCATCTACTTACCATCAACCTCTTCTATCCAGTAGCCCTGCAATTGCTCGTTCTTTAGTCCGTCCTCACGTGTAAGGAATGCCGACCGAAGCATGAGCATCAGCCTGTCCAGCAGACCGTGTACTTGCTCGAAGCCACTTGTCTTGCCCATGAATGCGGCTGCGAAGTGGCGCTCATTCCTGCTCTTCCTCTCCTGCTCCATATCGACGAGACCAATGTCGCTGACCTCAAAGATCTTCATCGGTACTGAGTGATGCTTATTGGAGTTGATAGTCTTGAGCAGACCCGGTAGTAGCGATGTTCGGACGAGTTGGTATTCCGCTGTCTTGGGGTTCGCAAGCTTCACCGCTGTCTTTCCGTCGTCTTTCCGGTTCAGCCACTCGAAGTTCTCCTCATGCGAGCAGAGGATAAGAGGCATAACCTCGGTCCATCCCGATGACGCAGACTCTATTCGGACGATATCACCGAGCTTGTTGATGGGTAATGGCGCAGAGACGGCAGCAGTCTTGTTCGGGTACACTCGTGGCAGCTTGTTGAAGCCGTATGCGATGGCGTAATCTTCCATGATATCCGCTTGATGAAGGATGTCCGCTCTTGTGACAGGTACCGAAACGTCGAGGATGTTCTTGTCGGATTGAGACGGTGAGACGTCATGACCCATACGCGACAGGAGTTTTGAGATCTCCTCAGGTGACAAGGTGAGGCCAGTGACCTGGTTCAGGTAGTCCACCTCAACCTGCATTTGTCGCGGTGACAGATCTGGCGACTCTCTTGACTCTCCATTGTGGGGCGAATTGATCTTGATAGGCTCGATCGACTCCGCGTATCCAGCGAACATGGTGACCATCATGTGGTTGACGATTTCAACCTTTGTCTTATCGGTCGCAGTGATCTCGATGAAGACGTTCTTTGTGTCCAGTGTGACCTTGCTGTGATTGCTGTTGATGATGGGCGGAAGGGAGAGAACGGTACGGTTCGCATCGTAGATTACGGGGTATACAGGCGAGTCGCGAATGATGTGCAGGAAGCGTCCCAGGTGCTTGTCTTTCTACTCAGGGTCAGAATGGTGCTACACATGGGCATCTTATGTTTACTGACCTCGTAGAACTCCATGAGCTCCTTCGCGTTCATTTCCTTGTCCTGCTTCAGGGGCACGAACTTGATCTGCTCTGGCGGTAGTGCTTCGTATGAGAAGGGGCCCTGGATCGTATCCAAGTCGTGTGTTCCGATGGATACAAGTGTCCGTTGACGTGCCAGATTGGAGTGTAGTTTGTCTTGTAACGCGATGAAGGAGTCGTATCGTTCTTGTGTGAATTTGATACCTCGTAGTATGACACCTGAGCAGAGTTCTCGTATTTGCTTGGTCTATAGAGCGACTAGTCAGCACAACTTCGCTACCGCTTTCCAGACATTCGGCATACCTCAGGCTTGATGTCGAGCACCTGCAGCTCTCCTCCCTTGGGCGCAGTAACAGACCACTTGGGCAGCTTCTGTTTCTCAAGGAAGACCTTGAGGTTCATAGCAATACCCTCGAAACATAGCATGTCATATCGGTTTGCGGGAATCTCAATCTTGAGTTGTGGTGGTTGCGCCTGATCTTCTGGCTTGGTGCTCAGGCTTGTGTCCTCGTCCAACTCGATACCGAATTCGAAGCATAGGTCGTCGAACTCCTGGTAGGTATATTCCCGACCCAGCTCCTTGAAGAGGGCCGCCTTATCCACACCGATAGTAGGCATTTTGGCGGGTTGTCTGCTCTCCCGGGGGGTTTCGCGTGGTTCTCGTGTGCGATGGTGGGGTCTTTGGAGGGGTAAGTTGGGAGGAAGGAGCGACTGGCGGGGTAAGGAGAATGTCGCAGTACTCGTATACGAAGGTAGCCGTAATACAGGAAGCTGCTGTCGTCTTTTAGTCGCTCAATGGACCGGCTGAGTGAGAGGTGCGGCTGCGTAAATAATTTGGTATGACTCCAAGCCTCGAGCGCAGCAATCGGCGCCGGGAGCTGCGTCGGACCGGACCTTGGCGCTAGGCCGTTTTGAAGGCGCGTCGCCCTGCAGATGGGTAGAAGTTTAGAAAGAGCTCATGCAAGATGAAGCATCGCTCTTTTGTAGCTGGAAGAACAATTTGCTTTCCAGCCTAGTAGTGGCTAACGAACTACCTAGTCCTCCATCCTATCTTCACGATCACAGAGTGCTTGACATCGTGCATAGAGTCTTCATATATGCAATTCTTGACATTCAGTCGTACCTAAATCTTGTTTCTGCAAAGGCCGCTGTATACGACATGAGCCCTTCAAACGCCATCAATGCCCCTGATGTCCATCAGGCGCCTTTACCTAACTAGGCGTAATCCTCGTTCAGTCAAGCAACTCTCAAGGCTATCGACAGAGTTGCAGTCCCTGCCCCAAGTCCAAAGTTTTGTTTCCGCGTACAGCTGTTCTCGGTAAAGGTAATCTTGGTCCGATGGCCAGCATGTGACCAAGTGTATGAATAGAAGGTACAATCTGAGCCGCTCGAGGCTAGTGAGAAGTTGTGGGTTCCACAACACCGTGCCACGTCATGTTCAAAGGCAAGTTCGCAGCGCGTCGCGTCGAAGTTGGCAATCGGATCGTAGCGCATTTAATCCTGCCAGTCCCACACTTTTTTGAGGAAGTGTGCCATGTTGACCTTTTTCGATTTCATTTCGACCATCCACGGGTGTTCAAGCATTCGCCAGGGGGTGGCTCTGCGAGGACAGTCCTTCTCAAGACTGTAGAAATTAGCAGGGGTTCATTTCTAGGTAAGAGGGTTACATACCAGCACTCGATAAAGTACTTGAAGTTCTCTGACCACTTGATGCCATTTTCGGGCTCATCCTTGAGCTTGGGAATGGGTTGTCGAACGATGTAGGTGAGTAAATCAATAAGACCAGCGCGGGGGTTCATCTCGGTTCCATCGGCAGGGAACGGGAAGCGATGCTGCGCGACTTCGAGTAGAGTAACACCTAGACTCCACACATCACTAGTGATTGTATAGCTTTGCCCGGTGATGCGCTCTGGTGCCATGTAGTATGAGGTTCCAATGAAAGTGTTGGCGTCTCCCTTGGTTCCGAATTCTCCGGATACACCGAAATCGCAGAGCTTGACCTGACCATTCCGGCATAATAGGATGTTGCTCGGCTTGATGTCCCGGTGTATGATGCGATGAGAGTGGAGGTATGTCAGTCCATTCAGCACGCCCTCGGCGACCTTGCCAAGGACCTTCTCGCCTGTTCGGCCTCCAAGCTTCTTGACCTCGCGGTATACTGCATCGAGCGATCCGCCTTCGCAGAACTCCATGGCGATGCTGATGGTCCCTGTGCTGTCGTCCATGAAAGCACCGTAGTAACGGCAGATGTGGTCACTGGCGCAGTTCTTGTTGAAAGACAATTCTCGTACGATTTGCTTCTTGACATCGGGATCGGGGTTCGTTGTGATGATCTGGAATACAATTAGTTGAGTCCCAAGCATCGTTTGAGACCATGCATACCTTCAATGCAAACGTAGTTTTTCCGCCCTTGAGTATGCATTTTGTGACAGCACCACCAGCGCCCTCTCCTAGACTTCCTTTCTCCTCAATCATTCCTCGTGCGCTCGCCGCTCTCCAGGCTGCGTCATCTAGATCATCCACCTCCAATGGCCGACCCTTTTCTAGAGCCATAGTATCTAGATCTGGTAGAGGCTGACTGCTGTTTGCACGCTCCATGGAAGGCGCGCCCTCGCTTCCTCCTTGGGATATTGCCGAAATGGGATCTGTGGCCTTTTGAACCCCCATGAATCCCAGTGCCGCATGGTATGATGAAGCAGAACCATTTGCTTGCACTTCACCAAAGCTACCCGATCTTGAGTGTGCGCTCGCATCGCTCGAGCCTGATGCCGACAGTCCCGGTCCTCCTATAATAAGCGGCGGGGGGTTTCGTGCGTTTCGTCCTTCGTGTGGTCCCTTGTTGGTACCCATGGGAGTGACGAGGCTTAGTTGCGGCGTCTGGCGGGGTTGAGGCGCGTTCAGAGTGGGTATGCCGTTACCTGCACCGTTGGTGACAGGTCGTGC